CGGGGAAAAAAATAAAAATAAAAATAAAAAAAATAAAAACCAATGGAAAAATATCGTCGGATGAACAACCACCACACAAACGAAAGGCAGGGAGAGGGGATGTGAGGCTGGGAAGTGGGGGGTGTGGGCAGTGGTGATGGGCAGCCCTGGGGTCTGGGCAGAGTGGGCAGGCGGGACGCTTGGCTGTGGGATGGGGGCAGAGCAGCTGGAGATGGGATGGTGAGAAGAGGGGGGACCTGTCAGGGAGGAGGCAGAGAGGGCAGAAGAGGCAGCAGTGGCCCTGGGCCCACCCCTCGCCCCTGCCCACTCACTCGCAGATGAAGGTTCCTTGGGGGATGGTGTGCAGGGCGCGGACCCCCCAGCCCATCTTGGCTGTTCGGTAGAGCTGCAGTCGAACCCTAGGGGTGGGAGAGAGAGTGATGCTGGGTGCATGGGAGACAGTGCGCGTGCGTGTGCGTGTGCGTGCGTGTGCGTGCGTGTGCGTGTGCGCGTGCAGGGCCAGGGCCTCACTTGATGCCGCTCTGCACCACCCGGTTCTTGCAGTTTCTCCAGCAGGAGCAGGCCTGGTTACACTCGAAGATCAGCGGGGGCTCGATCTTGTTAAATTCCTGGAGCAGCCGCCCGTCCTGGGGAGGGGGAGGCAGTGGTTTCTGTGTGGTCCCCCCTCAGCTGCCCAGGTCCCCCGAGACCCCACAGAAAAATCCTCCCCTGGCCGCAACCCAGTCAGTGGACACCACATATGCTCCGAGGTCGGAGGACTGGACCCCAAACCCCCCCTTGATCTGCAGGTGTCGGGCCAGGCCCATCTGTCCTAGTAGCATCCCAGGAATTCCAGGTCTGCCCTGCCCTCTCTGCCAGCCGCGCCAGGGCAGGAGGTGAGGAAAGGCGAGGGTGCGTACCTTGTCATACCAGCAGCGAATGCTGAGCTGGCCGCACAGGCAGTTGGAGCTGGAGCAGTCGTCCACACAGGTGCAGTGCTGGGGGGAGGCAGGGTGAGCTGGGCCCGGAATCAGCCCTGCGCCTGCCCCCAGTGCGCCTGCCCCCACTGCTGCCCCTTCTCTAGGGCCCATGTTTTAGAATCAAGATGCTGCTGGAGGATTGTCCCAGGGCCACCCTGAGCCTGACGACCCTGCGTGTGTCCTGGCGAGAGGACGCTTCTCCAGGGGACCGAGCCCAGGAGCTCCTCCGCCCTCACCTGCAGGTGGGTGATGTTGCGGTCAATGTTCATGGTGGAAGTCTCGCAGTTCTCTGAGATGTACTTGTAATCCTCGGGGCACGGCTCCCCGTCCACACCGTTGACGCAGGGAATGGGCACGTTCTCATAGCCCCGAGCCACGTCCCTGGCAAAAGGAGATG